GAGCTGGCAACTTTCTGAGCTATTGCCCAATTGCCTCTCCTGTTGGGGAGTTTATTTTCTTGGGTTATTTTTCTCAGCAGCCCCCAGTCAGATCAGTTCCATTTTGAACATAGAAGATAGAATAATAGGGTTGGAAGAGACTTTGGAGGTCTTCTAATTCAACCTTCTGCTCAAGACAGGAGAGTTTGTATCATTCTGGACAAATGTGTCAGGGGTCCAATGAAATCAAACTCCGAGGCTTGAAGTTCCTCAAAGCTAACTTTTATTAGGGATGTCATATTGGCATATCTGGGAAAACCCAAATCTGAAAGCTTCTGGGTTTTCCTCACCCACAAGAAAGTTGAAGACCTTGCCCACATCTCCCACATGTCCACCACAGCTCCAATCAGTTCTTCCCTGAACAGAAGACATCTTCCAAGTTCTTTTCACAGCTGCCGGACACCATGGCCTTGAACTTCTCTCAGAGAAGTTTGTTATGGCTATCTCTACTTCACTCATGCAATCCCCCCTCCCAACTTCCCATGGTATCATTGTGGCAGGCCTGGATCCTCAAGGCACACAGGTAATATGGCTTCCAGGCATGACAAAATGGCTGTCTGGTCTCTCCTTGAAAACCTCCAGTGATGGAGCACCCACAACTTTCAAAGGCAAGTCGTTCCACCAATTAATTGTTCTCATTGTCTTCTCCTTCTCCTTAATTCTAGGTTAGATTTCTCTTTAATGATTTTCCACTTATTACTTCTTCTCCTGCTCTCAATTGCTTTGGAGAATAGCTTGACACCCACCCCTCTTCTCTGAGACAGCCCCTCAAATATTGGAAGACTGCTGTCATATCACCTCTAATTCTCCTCTTCACTAGACCAGACATTCCCAGTTCCCACAACTGTTCATCGTACAGTTTAGCCTCCAGTCCTCTTTTCTTCTTTGTTGTTCTTCACTGCACTCTTTCTAGAATCTCAACTCTTTTTTTTTTTTTTTGAAATTTTGAAACCCACCACTGCTCCAAACAAACACCACAACCGCAAGATTTTTGTGAAAACTGGCACCGGGACTTTATGACTTTGCTGTGGGCAGAAGAATGCAAAACCTGACCTTGACTGACCAGCACATGACTCTGGAATGAGAATGAATCAGCTGAAACTTTCACAGGGGGAAAAGCTTTGAATCTACATGAAGGCACAAACACACATACATCTTCTCCATTATGCATAAACAAGAGTAAATCAAAATCAAGCAGGTTCAGTGGTGGGGTTCAAATTTTTTTACTACCAGTTCTGTGGGTGTGGCCTGGTGGGCATGGCTTGGTGGGCATGGCAAGAGAAGGATACTGTAAAATCTCCATTCCCTCCCCACTCCGGGGGAAGGATACTGCAAAATTCCCATTTCCTCCCAATCAGCTGGGACTCGGGAAGCAGAGAATAGATGAGGGCGGGGCCAGTCAGAATTTTTACTACCGGTTCTCTGAACTACTCAAAATTTCCACTACTGGTTCTCCAGAACTGGTCAGAATCTGCTGAAACCCACCTCTGAGCAGGTTAGCTCAGAATGATCTCTTAAACCTCTGGACTTTTCTTCATAGGAAGGAGAAATCAAAGTATGTCATTAAATTAAGTAATTAAGTAAGGGAGAAAAATGGATATGTAAAGAAATGTTTACTGATGCGAAAATGTTGAAAAGAAGAAAATTGTAAAAATTTCTTTTTTTTTTTTAATTCTTTAATAAAAATTATATATTTAAAAAAAAAAATCCCAGGGATAACAATGGCCTTTCTCATTGCTTCTATATCAGCCCACAAGACAATCTGCCCAACTGGTTGGAAAGGGAAGGAGAACTGGATCTGAAAGTAGTAGTGGACTGATGGACTATTCTGAGGGCCCAGACAAGAGCAGCAGCTGTTCACATGTCTACATTTATCTATATTGTTGGATTTTTCCAGGTTTTTTTTTTTTTTTTTGCTCCTGCTAAAATTCTGTTTGGTATTCTCTTAAATATGACTGCTTCTTATTAATAGATTGATTTTGTTCCTTTCTGTTGACACCGACCTATAAAACCGTTTACAATGAAAAATAAGTATTAAGTGTACCAATAAAATTGATGCAGCTAAAATCAAAACGAGACTTTAAGATCAATACTGCTAAGATGTGCCCAGAACTGCAGCTTTTCTTTGCACCTGAGGATGTAAATGCTACCTGAGGCTCACATTTCAAAACATTAAGAGCAGAACCGTTATCTCTATTCTTCAGATAGTGTCAGGAGAATCCATAAATAACAAGAAATAAATACAGACAGAGACTAAGTGCTGGGTCTGCTCGCTGCCCTTTCTGTTGCTTCTGAAACATTTTTCCCTGGATGAATTCTGCCTTTAGCCTTTAACAAAAAAGAAAAAAGAAAGATTTTCTACTCCTTTATTGAGCTGTTCTTACTTCTTATGAGATCCAGAACACTACTGTACAATTGTTCAGAACTGGCATCATGTCCCACCCATTAAGCAGTATCATCAAATGGGATCTAGGAAACGTCCCTTCGGTATTACAAGGCCCGTGTCAGGTATGCTTCCTTCAATATCCAGGAAAGGAAAACCCAAACTCAAACATTTTGAAGAGATTAGTACTTTTACTGAATATGAAATGATCGCAACCCAGGTAAAGCTGGAAGTGAGCAAAACGCGCGAAATAGCATCTACTAAGCTTCTCCCCCCCCCCGTGTCCATTGGTCATCAGCCAATCCAAAGGTCTCTCAAAGGTCAGGTGGCATCACGTCTGGCAGCGTCATTCATCAGGAATGTAGGGCAGTTGGTCAGCCATCCCCTTTGAAGATTCACTTTCATTTCTTGGGAAGACACGTCCTACAATGGAAAAAAAAACCACCTCCTGCATCTTCCCCCCCCCTTGCCTCCCCTAACTAATCCCTCCCCCGTTTCTTATGGCAGCTGAAGCAGGCAAAGCTGAGGCTGACATCCCGGCATTTTAAGCCCTATTTCTCCTGGGGGTCTACCTGGTCCCACCTGACTGGGTTTAGAAAAACCCTGAAAACTTGACTCTTCTCCCAAATTTGGGTTAAACCCAGTGGTGAAATCCAAATTTTTCTACTACCAGTTCTGTGGGTGTGGCTTGGTGGGCGTGGCAGGGGAAGGATACTGCAAAATCTCCATTCCCACCCCACTCCTGGAGGGAGGATATTGCAAAAGTCCCATTCCCTCCCCACTCCTGGGGGGAGGATATTGCAAAATTCCCATTCCCTTCCCACTCCTGGGGGTAAGATATTGCAAAATCTCCATTCCCATCCCACTCCAGGGGAAGGATACTGCAAAATCTCCATTCCCACCCCACTCCTGGAGGGAGGATATTGCAAAAGTCCCATTCCCTCCCCACTCCTGGGGGGAGGATATTGCAAAATCTCCATTCCCATCCCACTCCAGGGGAAAGATACTGCAAAATCTCCATTCCCACCTCACTCCAGGGGAAGGATACTGCAAAATCTCCATTCCAACCCCACTCTGGGGCCAGCCAGAGGTGGTATTTGCCAGTTCTCTGAACTACTCAAAATCTCCACTAGTGGTTCTACAGTCAGAACCTGCTGGATTTCACCCCTGGGTTAGACCCTTTGGTGGTTGCTGTGTGTTGTGTTGTTTTTCGAATGAATGGTCTGTCTCCTTCTGAATCTCGGAGGTTTGTATTTGTATCTCTTTTTTTAATAAGTAGCTGTAATGATTTTATTATTGCACAATGATCAGAGTCATCATGGAGATGGGCAGCCTCAGGCATGTAATAAATGAATTATTTTGTTAAAGCAAGTGAATTAATAGTAAGTGTAAAAGAAAACAAATGAATATTAAGTTCTGACTTGGTTCAATGCCCTCAAATCCAGTTGAATGGATACACTGCAAATTATCTGTCACTGAACAAATGGCAAATAGCTGTTTTACAGCTCTAAATGTCTGTTGATCTCACAATACTTCTTATGAACAGAAATCATGAGCTAAAACTGAACTGATTTTGCTCTTACCTTCTCTGTAGAAAATTATTAGGCGAAATCTAGTGTATTGCTTGCTTCTTATTTATTTTTATCCCACCTATACGGCAGTGGTGAAATTCAATTATTTTTACTACCGGTTCTGTGGATATGGCTTGGTGGGCGTGGCAGGGGAAGGATATTGCAAAATCCCCATTCCATCCCCACTCCTGGGGGAAGGATATTGCAAAATCTCCATTCCCACCCCACTCTGGGGCCAGCCAGAGGTGTTATTTGCCAGTTCTCCAAATTACTCAAAATTTCCACTACCAATTCTCCAGAACCTGTCAGAACCTTCTGGATTTCACCCCTGGAATACGGTATTGTTTTTATAAATAACTGAAGGCAGTGATCATACCTAATGCTCCTTCCTCCTCCTATTTTCCTCACAACAGCATCCCTATGAAGTAGGCTGGGCTGTGAGAGAGTGATGGCCCAAAGTTATCCAGCTGTCTTTCGTGTTTAAGGAGGGACTACAGTTCACTGACTCCTGATTTCTAAACTTCTGTCTTAAGCACCAAACTGTCTCTCTCTGTTTATCAGACCTGGTTTTATTTATTTGTCTTATCTCAAATAGTAATGAAACATTTTAATTTTTGAAAACGTTAAGATATCAAAACTACACTATTGAAGTGAGTAAAATATGCTATTCCTTCCATTTATTCAAGGGTTATGGACAGAGTGGTGCGGTGGAGCTCTCATCTCACAAACAGGAGGCTGCTGAGTTCGATCCTAGGTAGCGGCAGATATTTCTTTCTTTGGGCACAATGAGTAAATGTCTGCTGCAAACTCCACATAGGCATCAGGAAGGGCATCTGGCTAGTAAACACTCAACCTCCCTTCTGTTACCCCCAACTCCACCCTGATGCAAGGAATTACAGTGTCATTAAAAAAAAATAATCAGGATTATATACAAATGATTCAGAGCACCTGAAGGGAGTACTAGCTTCCAGCTTGGCACTTGATCAATTGCTGTCCCTTTCTGTGAGAAAAATAGGAATTATTCCTGTAAAAGCATAACCTGAGTTACGCCATTTTGAAATCATGTTAAGGTTTTGTTTTACCTTGTATAACCTGATTATATAATTTAGCTGACATTTAAGAACATGAGAAAGGAAATGTGTAATTCCTGTTTTTGAGAAGATGTTTGTCTTGCAGGAAATACGTTCCTGGGTTAACTTGCCCTTATTAATTAAAGGAAGTACGCAATTGATGTTTTTGAGGGGTATTTCTGTTGGGAATTGGGGAATTTCCAGGGTGGAATTATGTACTGCATATGTTATATAAGATGTTATGTAAGATCTGGAACTGATTCCCAAGGTACTTTATTGACGTGTATTCTGAATGTCCTGAAGACTATAAAAACTTGTGTAAATTGTTTTATTTTCGTCTTTCTCTACTTTAGAGAGAAAGGCCCTTTGCAAAGAATAAACTTTGTTCCAGGATTATTTCGGTCTTTGTCTCTTTAAAACGATAATGGGATTTACCTGTCGACCACAATTGGCGCCCGAACAGGGACTGAAAACATTCTGTCTGGAAGGGATTTCCCTGCGTGCGCACATAACACTGATTTCAGTGAGATGGGGTTATTTCCTTTCCAGCCGGAATTGCTTTTCTATGAACCTTGAGGCAGAGACCTGAATGCCTGGACAGAGAGGAACGTTCCTGAAGACTTCGGTGCACCAGGAGTGAGTATATGTTTTCTTTTTGGTGGTTTGGATTTGTGTATGTTTGTGTGTGTGTGGCCTGTATGATTTGTGTGTATAATTAGTGTAATACAGGTTGGGGAAAGTATGGGGACTTTACTAGGGAAAAGTGCTGCTGAGACTGAAATATCCTCCATCCCCCATATCTCCATTAGTGGTTAGAGGATTGGTTGGAAGCTTGTACAAAGGTATTAGATAAGGTGACTATGATTAATTATTGTAAGGAGGTTTGGCTGACGTTTGTGTTGATACAGCCTAATTATAGGTGGAGTAAGTTTGGGAGTCAGACCCATATTGGATCAATGCTTTGAAGAAAGTTTTGGTGAAAAAAAGAAGTTGAAAGTTCAATTGTTATATGTTGAACCTCAGTTCCATGTTCAGTAGTTTAACTCCTCTTCCCCGAGAAGTTCTAGAGTTTTGTATGAGAAAGGAAGAGACTTCAGCAGGGCAGTAATATAGGCAGCTGGAAAAGGAGTTGGGTGAATTGTTAGTAACTGTGAAACAGAATCCATCCACTTCTCATGTTACATGTTCACAAACTAAAGGAATGTTTCCTTTAAGAGGAATGCTGAATGGTATTGCGGCTTTTGTGAATGAGTCTTTGACATCTTCTGATCTGGAAGATTATAAAAGAAATATGCCGTCTTTCTAAGCGGATCTGATTAAGTTGTCTGAGTCATTGGATTTATTCCTGAGACCCAATCTGTATACTTTTGCAGAGTTACAGTGTATATTGGGTTGTTTGTTCTCCCCTGAGGAGAGGTCACAAATTCGAAAGGCAGCTATGGTTTTTTTTTGGGATTAAACCCAAGTGGGGGCTGTTCAGCCCGTTGCTGCAGATGTTAAGTCTCCATTAGTTGATCCTGGTTGGAATAATAATAATTTAGCTGATCGGGAACAAATGGAGGGAGTTAAGACAGCTGTACCTCAAGGAAGAAACAAAAGTTTTTGAGGTGGAACAGTTGTGGGAAGAAACACCATTTGTGTTTCTGGAAAATATTAAGGACAATTTGAATAAGCACACTGGTCTTTCTCCTGGAACGCCGGCTTATGAGTCCTTAATGAAAATGAAATTTGTGACGAAATCATGGCCAGACATACAGAAGCTACTACTGATATTGCTGCTCTGTTGAAAGAAGCTTAAAAGGTCTATGTGAATAGGGATGAGGCCAAGACTAGAAGAGGAAAAGGTTTTGTGAAACTTCGATTGCAATGTGGCGACAGTGTCCTGGAATTGGAGAGGATTACACCAGTGGAAAAAAGTCTAGTGTTGGTGGATTGGAAAGCAAAAAGTGAAGAATGTGAAATTAAGTTGTGAAAAGTGTATTATACGTTTGGATGTGATATTTGTTCTAGAAGTAGGTCTTAATCTGCTTGGGAGAGATGCATTGTCTCTTCTGGGGTGTGAGCTTGGTATACAGATCTTTATTGTTCTTGGATGAGGCAAAAAACTCTGTAGGAATGTGGTAAGGAAGGTTTATTGTTCTTCTTACCTGAGGTTGAATGCGAATATTTTGTCTTTGATTAATGTGATGTGATGGTGATATGTGTGTGCTGGCTAATTAAGTGACCTTCTTGGCTTAAGTCTGGAGCTGTGGAGGACAGGTGTGGTTAGGGCCCAAAATCAAGTTTTTGATTAAAAACCGCATCCTGAAGTTTTCCACTGCTTGGGGAATGGGCTACAAGATGTCAAGGATAAAACTGAAATGGGTATCTGAAGGGATGGAACCTTTCCAGGTTTTATTCCAGGTTTGCAAATGTTGTTAAATGGTATGTGTGTGTAATGAGAGTTGTTTAGGCAATAGAGCTCATTGTCTTGAAGAAAAAAATAATAATGAGAATGATAATAAAGCTCCCTGAAGTATTTGTATTGGCAGGGAAAAGGCATGTGTGTGTTGGAATACACTAAAAGGTCTGATTGCAGAATAAATATGAGTGTATGTGGTAAGCCCTTAAATGGGGGTGGTAAGGTGATCCTGATATTTGTGAATGCCTGTGCATTGAACCCCTGAGAAATTTCCTTTTGTATATTGAAATAGTGAGTGGCAAGAGTTTGTTGTTGTAGTTGTTGTTATGTTGTAATAGCAAGTGTTTAAATGAGCAAGTGAGAGATGAGAGAGATCCTATGGAGAAGTAGGATTAGGTAGAGGTATTTGCGATGTTAATTAGAGACAGGAGTAGTATTTTTCTTCTCTATATTTCCCCCGTCTTTTTGTTCTGAATAAGAGAAGTAAGAAAGGGGGAGGGAAGGTGCGGTTTGTTTTCCCTTTTACACATTTTTTTTTCCTTTGTTGAGTTTGTCTGAGAGAAAGGAGGGGCGAATGGGTGATTTGATCCTGCATTGTTTCTGACTGCATTGGCAGCTATGCAGATGTATTTCCTGTTCTGCTTTAGAGAAGTGACATTGAAAGTTTGAAAAGTTTTTGGGAGTAGAGATCCGGAATACCTCTATTTTTTTATTACCCTCTTTTATGTTTTTGTGTCTGTGTATTTTGAATGATTTTGAATGCTGAGAAGGAGATTTCTAGATACTAGATACTGGATAGTCTGGGGAATAGTTGACTATGTTATTTTAGCTTAGTGTTGTCTAGGTAAAGGATGTTTCCTTGAGGGAAGAATTACTGGTAGAAGGTAAAGATGACTTTTGGTCTGGTTAGCTAGGAAGTTACTTGTAAGTTAGTCTGTATAGACTTGTGAATTTAGATTAAGCTTTGCATTTCTTTGAAGCTTGTGGAAATAGTTTAGCTAATTTTTGATAGAGGTGTGGTGTGATTCCTCTGAAGTGGGGAGAGTTGAGTATTTATTGAGACTCTATTGATTTATTGATAGTTAATTTTAAACTAAGTTGTTTGGAAGAAAGGTTGAAGGTTGAAGAGTTGAAGAAAGTAATAATATAGTGTTGCTCCAGTGTTAAGGGGAAAAATTTCCACTTGTCTGTAGTAATGGAAGATGGTATAGCCAAAGGAATGTTGGTTCGCATGTGGACTGGGAACTAAAAGGTGGTGCACAAATGCTAGGTTTTTTAAAATTGTTTCAAGAGAGTTTGGTTCTCTTGACCAATAGGAGAGAGAGATGGGAAGATGTGGAATGAAATTGTGTGGTTATGAATAAATGAATTGAGAATGGGATGAGACTGGATGAGATGCAGTTGTGAATGGAGACACTATTGAGATATTGGAAGGTGGAAAGTTACCGTTTGAATGGTCAGTGCAGATATGTGAGGTTTTTGCTTTATTGTAAGCATTGCACATATTAATTAATGAGGTAGGGAATATTTATGCTGATTTAAACTATGCTTATGGTATCCTACATACTTTTGGGATAATCTGGATTGAAAGGGGGTTGATATTTAGTAAAAGGAATTGCGATAGGTGGAACTTATCACAGCTGTTTTAAAGGCAGCTGAGGATCCTTCTAAACTTGATATTATATAAATAGTGGATGAAGGGGTGTGTAAGTGAATGGGAAATGGATTACTAAAATGGAGTGCAAATTTTTACTAAAGTAGTGATGTGGAATGTGATTGAATGAGTGCATGAGGGAACCTATTGGGGAACGCAAGCACTTATTGATTTTATTAAATGTATATGCATATATGTGTCTAGGGGTATGTATACAATAGTTATACAAATGGTACGGAAATGAATACATTGTGTATGTAAAAAATATGTAGAGATTTGACCATTTGGCCTTTTCAATGAATCTAAGTAGATTACATTGAAATGTGCTGGTGGTGTGACCATTGATAAATCATATTAGAGCGAATAATACCCAAATATAGTGATAGGAGTATACATTTCATTGTCCAAGGTGATGAAGGTTATGGAACAATTAGGAATTGATTGGCAATTACATTTATTGTTTATGCAAAGTTCTATAGGGTGTTGTGAATGTGCTAATCAGATAAGTAAATCTATGTTATAAAAATTAATGTTAGAGTTTCAACTACTTTGAATGAAGTGTTTGCCTTTAGCTCTATTAAGAATAGGAACTAGTCCTAGGAAAGATCTGGGGATATCTATGTATATGTGGGGAAAGTTGAGATGCCTAGGATAGAATTGAAGGATGTTTTTTCTGAAAAAATATATATACAGAGACTGTCCCAGTGTTTTTCTCATTTAAGGTAAAAAGGACAGAATCTACCTCTTGATTTCCAAGCACATGAATACAAAAGTGGAGACTGGGTCCGATAAAAGCCATTACTGAGAAGAAGTTGCAGCTGGTGTGGAAGGGACCGTTCCAAGTTTTGCTGACTACTGAATCGGCTGTAAGGACTAAGGAACAAATTTGGGTATGCTATTCCAGAGTCAAGGGACTGGTGGCTTTGCCTTATGGAAGGACAGTTGCTACGGAACCTGCAAACCCTCTTAAATTGACTTTTTGATGACAAACCTTAGACGATTGATGACCAATGGATGGAAGAAGAGTTTTATGAAGAGATTTGTATTTGGCTAGGAGTGGTAATAATTCTTGTTGTGTTTTTGATTGTATTGAGGAAAGATATTATTGATTGGTGTAAATCTATGTTTTGATATCCAGTGGATGTAAGTTCTCCTTGATTGATTGATGTTCACTAGGGAGCTAGTTCACTAGGAATAATGGGGTTTTTTTGTGGTAATGTTTGTTATTCTACAGGTGTGGATAGGAATGGGGATTTTGGCTGTGTTGCCTAGTTACCCTATAACATGGTAGCAGCTATGTTTCCATACTGAATTCGAGCACCATTATTCTTTTATAGAAACACCACTAACCCTAATAGACACCACTGAGGAAGCTGAGATATGTATTAAGTCATCTTTTGAAGATGGTGTGTGCCAAGTGCAAACGTACATATGAGATAGTTCCTCAATACATTGGCCTTACAAATAGGATGGAATTTTTATATAAGCAATGCACTGAGCTATTTGGTAATTATATACCTTCATACAAGAAGTTTTGGATTTTGGAGGAAGGGTTACATTTTCTATGTCTAAGGATACAAGTTCCTTACAAGTTAATGTTTTTATGTGGTAACATGGCATTGACCAAATTACCTATTGTATGGAGAGGAGTTTCTATACTGTTACAGGATATTCATAGTTTACAGAAATAAAAGATAATGAAGAGGAGAATTGGGGGTTGTGAGAAAAATAGGAATTATTCCTGTAAAAGCATAACCTGAGTTACGCCATTTTGAAATCATGTTAAGGTTTTGTTTTACCTTGTATAACCTGATTATATAATTTAGCTGACATTTAAGAACATGAGAAAGGAAATGTGTAATTCCTGTTTTTGAGAAGATGTTTGTCTTGCAGGAAATACGTTCCTGGGTTAACTTGCCCTTATTAATTAAAGGAAGTACGCAATTGATGTTTTTGAGGGGTATTTCTGTTGGGAATTGGGGAATTTCCAGGGTGGAATTATGTACTGCATATGTTATATAAGATGTTATGTAAGATCTGGAACTGATTCCCAAGGTACTTTATTGACGTGTATTCTGAATGTCCTGAAGACTATAAAAACTTGTGTAAATTGTTTTATTTTCGTCTTTCTCTACTTTAGAGAGAAAGGCCCTTTGCAAAGAATAAACTTTGTTCCAGGATTATTTCGGTCTTTGTCTCTTTAAAACGATAATGGGATTTACCTGTCGACCACACTTTCACTGCCTAAGAATTAAGCAATTAAGCCTTCTTCTCACAGATCTTATATACAATTTTCAGAATACACAGGTCTGATACAACAGGATGTAAGTACGTTCCTAGAGTCCAGTTTCAGATCTTATACAACATATTTAGCACATGGTTTTGCCCCCTGGAAAATCCCCACCTTTCCAGTAAAAATACCCCCCACAAAAATATTGCTTATGCTTGTGATATCATTATATGCTACTTCCCCTTATTAATGAGGGCACGTTGACCCAGAAGAAGATTTCCTGCAAAACAAGCAGATTTTAAGAACATACATCAGCATTTAAGAACATACACAGGAATTGCACAGTTCCTTCTCCCATGTTCTTAAGTCTTATTATGTTCTTTTAGCTAAATTATATAATCAGGTTATACACGGTAAAATAGGGCACTTAAAATGGCATAGCTCAGGTTATACTTTTTACAGGAATAATCCTTATTTCTCTCAAGTGGCTTCTTCCTAATATGCAATATGCAGTAAAGATTATTTTTTTGTTATGCTGTAATGTGACAGACTTAAGCTGAATACAGTAGAATTTAGTCAAGCTACACTGCATTGACTATGCAGAAAATCCTGCCAAGGTCTGTAACAAATGACCCCAGATACCATTTGTGACCATGGGAAGGTAGACACCAATTTGCATCAAAAGAAGATCGATCATTCTAAGACAGTGAGAAATGGGAAGGAGTTTAGGTGAGTAAGTGGAAATTACTGAACATTGCATTTCACTAGAAAACAGAGCATGGATTCAAAGAGAAACTGATTAACAGTAAATTCCACCAGAGAAGAAGCAATGTTGGTGAATGTGGAAAACGAAGACTTCTGACTCAAGTCACCCAATTGCTACATGTGGTGTCTTCTCCAAAAATCCCAATGACTCGTCTCCCTGGCTGAGGGATGGTATATCAGAATGAATGAATGAATGAATGAATGTATGAATGAATGAATGAATGAATGAATGAATGAATGAATGGGAGTTGATCATTTATATTGCTTAAACAATTCATTACTGAAATTTTGTGCCCACAGTTTCATATCTACCATGGCATAAGATCTCAAACATTTTGATGTTGGTGTGCACCTACTTCTTGAAGTAAAAGGCAAGGAAGTTAAGACTCCAGAAATTTCATAACAAATCTTCTTGGTAAGCCCTTTCTTTTGATATTTCAGAAATCTAGAAAGGAGCCAATCATTCATAATGATTATTATCCAACCTCATTAATATTGATGTGAAAACATTGGCCAGCTTCAGCAGGTGGTTTTAGTTCTAATCCATCCCAATCAAGGGGTTTTGTCTTTGGGCAGAAACAAACAGACTTTGTTGGTGCTTAAGATGACATCATCTGTGGCTTTAATTGTTTACTTCTATTGCTGAAAAAAAGCTTTTAATAAGACCCTGTGGGGGAAAAAAATTCTATTGCTCTCAATGAAATAGCTCTGCTGGTCTATTCCAGAAAAAAACCGAACATATTTGTGGGCATTTTCATATATCTTTCTTAAGCTGCCTCCAACTACTTTAACTTAGCTTTAACTTAAACAGAATCTATGAAATATTTTATACATAGAAACTCAGAATCTAAGATTGTTTCAGTTATGAATTATCAATTCTCTCAATTCTTTTGGGATGCCCTAAAGTCAGAACTGCTATCAGGGTAGCTCTTTTATTTGAGAAGTTCATTTCAGCGGTGACTGGAGGTTATAATGTATTTAAGGCAAATATATTTAAACTTTAGAGACCCTCATAGTCACAAGATGAAAGAGAATACAGGTAGTTCTCAGTTACTGACAGCCTAATTAAAGAAACATCCAAAGTTAGAACTGTATGAAAAAAAAAATAGCTTTGGAACCAGTTCTCACATTTATGGCTGTTGCAGCATTTGGCAATCATACTATTTGCAACTGGCAAGAGAGAAGCAGAGTTAATAGAGAATGTGGAGGTGAACTAAGTGACTGCTTTGTGATGTCTTGCTTAATGACTGAATAGGAAGTTATGCCATAAGTCCATCATAGTTATGTGATGTTTTGCTTAGTGACAGAGTTGCCGCTCCCAATCATGGTCACTAATTAAGGACTACCTGTACACTAAATAAATACATTAGAAATTACAAAAGGTTTTTTTTATAAATACATTACAAAAAAGATGTTGAGACTTTGGAAAAGTGCAAAGAAGAGCAACTAAGATGATTAAAGGCCTGGAGACTAAACCATATGAAGAACGGCTGCAGGTTTTGGGTCTGGCTAGTCTAGAAAAAAGAAGAATTGGGGAGACATGATAGCAGTATTCCAGTATTTGCACCTTCTTCCGTGCAGTGACAATTGACATTGAGGTCAACTGCAGAATCACCAAGGCAAGCTCTGCATTTGACAGACTACTGACCGCCATGGAATAAGCCTTGCTACAAAGCTCAAAGTCTACCAAGCAGTAGTGCTAACTACCCTGATGTATGCCAGTGAGACTTGGACTGTATACAGGAGGCACGCTAGGCAATTGAACCACTTCCACACGACATGCCTCCGTAGAATTCTGAGGATCCGGTGGCAGGACAAGGTACCAGACACAGAAGTCCTCTCCAGAGCAGGCCTGCCATCAGTTCATGCCCTTCTGATGAAAGCCCAGACAAGCTGGGCAGGCCATGTTGCAAGGATGCCAGACCATCGCATCCCTAAATAGCTCCTCTATGGTGAGCAGTCTCAAGGAAAGCGATTGCACAGGGGACAAAGGAAGTGATACAAAGACACGTTGAAAGCCTCCTTCAAGTCCCTGGATATCGACACCACCTCCTGGGAAACCCTAGCACAAGACCGATCGACCTGGCACACGCTGATCCCCCAAGGCTGCCAGATATCTGATGGCAGAAGAACACCCATAGCACAAGAGAAGTGAGCACTCCGCAAAGCCAGAGCTTCAAATGCTGCAACGGTGCCCACACATGTCTGCCCAACATGTGACAAAACATTTTGTGCCCGTATAGGTCTTACCAGTGACCTGCGGACACATTGTGGCCAGCCCACAACCTGTTAGATGTCAAGGTCCTCTTCGAACACGATGGATGAACAACAAGAAGTCCTCAGAATTACTGTTGCTAAGCAAGTTGGTTGTTAACCGACTCATACCCAATCTCATGACCTTTTTGCCATGGTTGTTAATTGAATTAAGCAAATCCTGCTTCCCTCATTGGTTTTGCGTATCTAAAGCCGGCTGGGAAGTTTGCAAATGGTGAATCTGTGACCTTGAGACACTGCAATCATCACAAATACATGCCATTTGCTGATTGCCTAAATGCTGATCACGTGACCACAGAAACAGGTCACAAGTGACCACAGTCATATGTTTGAGGAGTGGTTGTAAGTCACTTTCTTCAATGCCTCCGTAACTTCAAACGGTTGCTAAACAGATAAAAGTCGAAGGGTTCATTTTGAGCTAAAGCTTGTCTTGATCTCTGAACTCACATACTTTGTGAGAGATCTCACGAAGGTTGATGGTTCGTTGAGGCGCTTCCAAGAAAAAGGCAGTATGCAAGGATGCAATCAAGTTGAATCTTTATTTAGGAATAAAGTAGAGAAAATGAGTTCCCTGGCATGAAGGCATCCATGCCTGGATTGAGCCCATGGATCAATCCCGTAGGAAGCTAGAACAAGAGCCGAAGAGCAGCCCCTGTGCAGGAGGTCTTATGGGGGCCCCAGGCCCCTCCCTTACCAATGGGTGTGAGGGGGCTGGAGGGCCATTAACTCTCCCCAATGGGGCTTCAGGGGCCGGAACCCCTTGACCCACCAGTGGGATCAAAGGTGCTTCTTTGCTCCCATCTGGTGGCCTTTTAAGAAACTGCCATGGCTGCACAAAACACCTAACATACTTAATTAAATATCCTGG